ATGTTTTTCATCCTTACGCTTGTTTTTATTGTTAATTCCCAAGTACAAAGCACCAACATGTCTTGCATTTTCAACTTGTGCATGCTTTCTACCTCTATTGTAATATCATGGTTGGCAACATCTTGATGTTTTTGAATAATATATTTTTTATCATCACTATTCGTCTTACAAATCTTTCGCTCTTTGTTTACACTGGTGTTCGCAAATTGCTTATCATATGACACAAAAATAATCTTTTTATCATACCACCAAAATACATACATGTTATTTCAACATATATAAGTGGCATCTACATTACATTATTATGGTAGTCTCCAATGTACATGACAATCATCCATCTCTACATTACATAAAATTTCATCTTTGTAGTACTTTCCAATAGAAAGCAAAATTTTACTTACTTCCTATCTTTAATTTCTTGCCTTCTATTAACTTGCGAAGCTGATTGAAAAATGAATATTTTCCAGTCTTCAAATTTAAAGTTTTCTCACTAATACTTTGGATACCAAGTTCTCACTAATCATGATTTACTACCACGTTGCATACTTTGTTGTTGAGGATACATCATGTTCTAAAAATCTCATTGCATTTTAAATTTGACTCTTTTATATCTTCTCGATAGGCCTTCGCAGAATCTTTGATAACTTGTATGTATTCGAACTTAGCTAGGACTAATGTAAACTTTCTAGCCACATGTTATCTTGTTCTAAGTCTATTGAAGCAATCAACATTCACATTAGTTAAAGCAAGCGAATTCTTGCTGGCTAAGTCTTCAAACAGTTTCATCATTCGTTCCAAAATTTCGACCAAGGTTAGTTTTACAATCCTTTGATTATTTTCACGAGAATGCTTACCACTACCATCATAAGTAGCCATCGGCCAAAGGCATTTCCTCTTATACAAATTTTTGTGTAGAAGCGGAATTGAAATTCTTGAAACAAAAATAAAGTAGAAAGCTAAAAACTATGGTAGGGAAATAATTTTATTGTATTAAATGAATTGATTTGAATATTGAAAGTGTACAAAACCTTTGTATATAATATGCAAAATCATTCCCTAATCTTGAAACTAATATAAGAAAAATAAATTCTTAAGCTAAAAGAAATTAGAAATCATATTCTAATCAACAAAGAAAAGAAATCCTATTTTAAAAAAGAAAAAGCTAAAAAAAAAAAAAGGATAAAACCTATTACACCGAAAACGTATTATAAATATCTATCCTCTTTATAATAACATTGTCCTACATCAGATAATTGATTATGCTTCTACATATATGTACATGTTCACAATCGAAATATAGTCTAATATTTTACACATCTTTATAATAATCATCTTCAATTTTACGGACTAAATAATTGTTCTACACGTTGGCTATAGTTGGAGTGGAGATGAAAATATTTTGTATACAAATTCATGGCTCTAAATATTGGTCCCATAACACTAGTGGTTTGCCTAAGAAAAGATGTGACTACTTCCACTTACCTAAAACCAATGGGAATCACGATTAAAACCACTTACTTAGTTGTCCTATTCCACAAGGCTATAATTGACACGTTTTTATTTTATTTTCGTNAATATTGACATAAGACTGAATTAACGTTTGTGATCAGTATTAATGTGTTAGTTTTTTCTTGTTTCATATATCAAATCATTAACCTTCATATGTATGTCACTTATGACCACTGCGAAGTGGGTGACTGCGAATAACATTATTTTACGAAAAATAGTTTATGACTTGTATAATCAAATAGGGAATAGTGCAATTAAATGCATTACTTCAAAAATAGATATTTAGAGTTGTGCTTAAGAATATGCTTGGCTTATATTGGAACGAATAGTTGAACAAAATGATCGATTGTGGACTGACAAAAAATATATTGTATAACATAGATCGAGAATTGAAATAGGAGTATCAGTGGAGTCGGAATCTCAACACACTTTCTCATACAAAGTTCTCACATGCAATTAGATAATCATTAGGATAAGTAATAAGTGAAAAACAATTTAAAATCTCATTTCTTTCTATGACATTCATAATTGATATCTAATTAGTACATTTATCTTGGAACTTATTCTCCGTGGGACAATGTATTTACTCTTAAATTATTACTTGTCAATGATTCTGTATCCTTATGAGATTTTACATAATAGTAATGTTAGATTTAATGCCTCAAAATTGGGTTGAAATCTTGGAAGATCACGTTTGGCTTGAGTTTAGGAAGAAATCAAATTACATCCAATATTTTTTCCTTTTACGTGTTTCAACCTAATTCCACTAGATTTTCTTACCTTTTAGGACTCTATTAGGGTTATGAACGTGGCCTATACATTAGAGACTCATTTGTCAGTTTTACAAAAGTTTTTTTGCTAATCAGTTATAATCTCTCCATATTATCGAATTTAATAAAATTTATAGTTTCTCTGCTTAGTTTCTCTTTTTCTACTTTACTTTAATCTTGTTTTCGTGGTATAATTTTGAATATTTCATTATTGCCATTAAATCTCAATCTTGTCATGGCCTTTGGGATCAACAAGTGGTATCAGAGCCAGTTGCAAGTTCTTCGTGATTTGTTGGGATTTTGGCAATCGTATCTAGAAACAACGATTAGTGGATTTTTTAGAGATGACTTCTATGAAATATGATATTCCGCATTTGGATCGCAATACAAAGTTTTGCTCTGGCAAGTAAAGATAAGGGTTATNACTTGGCCAGGTTTGACATGTTTCAGATCTGAAGAGGAATCTCATCTCACTATAAATTCTCTGATAGGATTGGAGTCTTGAAGATTCGAAGGGGTGTCTGGGTTGTACTGGAGGGACGGAAGAAGTCTTAGTTGTACATCTTGTAGGGGAACACAGAACCAATTAAGAGACATTTGGACAAATTTAGTATCGTAGTGGAAGTTCAGTTTGGTACAATATCTCTTGTGGCGAGCTCTAAGTTGGTTAAAAACACTGTTAGGAAAAGCATTGATGATTCCTCTTTGCCACCAATTTCAGAGGATACACTGTGTTCAGTTGTTAAGATTGCACTCATGGAGCGTAGGTACGGAGGTGTCAATAATGTGTAGAATGCTTTAGGGAATGTTGAATGTGATAGTTCTAGCAAGGGGCCTTCTGATCCATCATATGGTATGGATTCTGCTACAGGGTGTGCTTCGACTCTATTTGATCAACAGTAATTTCTTGGTGAAATTTTGGGAACCTAGGATTTGGGTTCGGGTGTTGCTTGTGGAAGCCTTGCAAAGGATGATGGTTTGGTGATGGAGATTTTGGTTACTGTGTTGATAAAATTGGTCAGTTTATTTCGAAGTAGATGGATTTGAAATTTTGGAGTTTCATTCGTTGTACCAAAATTTTGAATCAAGGTGGAGATTGTTAGGTTTAATGCCTCAAAATTGGGTTGAAATCTTGGAAGATCACGTTTGGCTTGAATTTGGAAAGAAATCAAATTACATAGAATTTTTTTTTTTCCTTTTACGCATTTTAACCTAATTCCACTAGACTTTCTTCCATTTTAAGACTCTATTAAAGTTATGGATGTGGCCTATAAATTAGAGATTCCTCTGCCAGTTTTACATAAGCTTTTTTGCTGTTCAGTTGTAATCTCTCCATATTATCGGGTTTAATAAAATTCATCATTCCTTTGCTTAACTTTTCTTTTTCTATTTTACTTTAATCTTGTTTTCGTGGTGCGATCTTGAATATTTCATTATTGCCATTAAATTTCAATCTTGCATTGCTTTTGGGATCAACAAGTAAATAGTAAAAAGATAGGCTAAAACGAGAATTTTGTTTTGCGTTAATAGTCAATTTCCAGTCATACGATAAGCTAAGCCCAAGTGTGGCCAATTTTAGTTGACAAAGCTGATTTTAGTAGTCAATTCATGGTTTTCCTCCTCTTTTCTTTATTCAATTGTTTATATTTCGATTTTTCTTTGGGTTGGCGCACTATTCATAATAGAATAGCCATGTTTAGTATTATTTTAATTCAGATGACGTGAACATCTAAATCACTTATAAATAATAAATAACGACAATATATATATCCGTGACACGGTATCAAGTTTTATAGTGGACCACGAATACTATTTATTGAGCTACTTTTCATTTCTATTTATTTATAAATTAGATTGTTTATCAATTCTTTCCAAACGAAAGCTAAAATAACTTAAAAAGTAGAAGAATATCTCAAATGCATGAAAGAATCAGAATAAAATGTTTGTTGAAAAATTAGTTGCAGATATTATTGCATAATAATAAAATGCATAAAAATAAAACTTATCGAATGATCAAGACTCATGACAGTACTATTGTCATAAAGTGAAATTCCCCATCTTAATCTGTTGTAGCTTCTTTGGACAATTAAGTTTAGAATACAACAATTGAATCACTTATGCAATCAAAAGAGATTAATAGACCTTTCAATTTTGCTCTAGAACAAAATATATTAAAATAAGCCTTGTTTAAGCCTCATTTTTTCTCATTATTTTTTCTACAGCACTTATTTTCAACAATATATTCTTTATTAAAATAATATTACACTCAAATCAAAATTTTTTTCTTTCTTTTTGATCATATATTTCCCATCAATTTACTATTCCATAATACATTACAATAAATTAACGGGGTTCAAACAAGGCCCAATTCTTAAATCGTTTTCTCATAAAAGTATGTAAGATCAAAATGATTTTAATGTGTTTTTTCTAAGGAAATAAGTTATATATAATAAAAAAAATTATAACTTCAACCAGTAGTAAGCTTGTGCTTTTCGCCAATTTATATAGTTTTAATGTGATCCGTTTGTGGAGTGTGAATCCACTCCACAGCCGACGAGGATTTATCCATGCCTGTAAAGAAATAGCATTCATAGCCGCTGAAATTGTATATAGAAATAATATATTCGAACCAATAACAAGTCAAGTTCATGCAAACCGTATGACTTATCCAAAATCATCCCATTTGAGAAGGTAGATACTATAAATTTGATGCCTGCCTCCCTTGAATATCAGAATTCATTGAGTTTTTGCTGATGGATCTTCCTTTTCCAATTCTAGTCATGGCATTAATAGTCCTATGCAAACAAATAAGTCTTGTCCAAGGGGATATAGGCACTGCGACTTCGTATGGTCCTCCATACATACGTAAGAATATGCCACAACTTCGCAATAAAAATGTTTGCATTGCTCGACAGTACAATGAACATCATCTATGTTTTTATGTTTTCATTTTTTTCCCTTTTTGTGCAGCTACCAAGTGCCATGGCAATAGACAAGACCAATTCCCACCAGGAAATCTGTTTGTTGCAGTGAATGAAGGATTGTGGGATAATGGGGCTTCATGCGGCAGGCGCTACAGATTAAAGTGCTTGAGCGGAAACAATAGGCCGTGCAAGGAGGGCACCATAGACGTTACAGTGGTGGATTTTTGCTCGAAAAGGCCATGTCCATCGACCATTGTCTTGTCTAAAGATGCTTTCGAAGCTGTTTCGCGTTCTCCCAATGCTAAAATCAACATTGA